TAATACTATATATTATAACTACTTTTAAAGCTGTCAGAGATTAGAATAAAAGGCTGGAAGGAGAAATACCAAAATGCTAATGGTAGTTGGGTTAGGGTTTTGGAATGGGAGTAGAGGCAATGTTCTTCTTTTCTCTATTTCCAATTTTTTAAATCTGATTGTATTAGTTGAATGATTTAAAAATGACTAGTGAAGCTGACCAAGGAAAAAAAGAGCTTGAAACCCACATTCTAGGACCAGCACTTCCACTAACCAGGTTAGTGGCCTGGGGGTGGTCACTCCTCTGGTGCCCCAGACATCCCATCGTCTGCCCCCAGTTCGCTCTACAGGTCTGTTTCCATGTCTCTCTCTCCCTTTTGCAAACCTTCCTTGCCCTTCCACAGCCTCATCTAGTGTTACTGTCTCTCCAAAGCCTTCCGAAAATCTACTCTGACTCACCGCCATCCTTCCTGTCCTCACGCAGCTCCCCCATTATTAGTGCTTCTTTGTTGAACACTTGCTAAGGGGTCACTCAGCTATTCTCTCTATATGTTACCTGATTCAATGCTCAAAATAATTCAGTGATGCGGGCAGATTTTTTTGTTTGTTTGTTTTTCAGTACGCGGGCCTCTCACTGTTGTGGCCTCTCCCGTTGTGGAGCACAGGCTCGGGATGCGCAGGCTCAGCGGCCATGGCTCACGGGCCCAGCCGCTCCGCGGCACATGGGATCCTCCCGGACTGGGGCACGAACCCGTGTCCCCTGCATTGGCAGGCGGACTCTCAACCACTGCGCCACGAAGGAAGCCCGAGGCTTTTTTTTTTTTTTTATTGAAATACAGTTGATTTACAATTCTGTGTTAGTTTCAGGTGTATAGCAAACTGATTCAGTTATATATATATGTGTTTTTTTCAGATTATTTTCCATTATAGGTTATTACCAGGTATTGAATATTGTTCCCTGTGTCAATGGTTAATCATCATTGCTTATCTATTTTATATATATGTAAGTATGTATCTGTTAATCTGTAACAGTATGTATCTGTTAATCCCATACTCCTAATTCATCTCTCCCCCCTCCCTTTCCCCTTTGGTAACCATAAGTTTTGTTTTCTATGACTTAATTCCTGCAGACCTAGTCTCAAGCAAACCCTGGTCTAGTTGGAGAGGACACCTTGAAGAAATTCTCTGGTCTGGGTGATCCACACCAGAGCTTTTGGGTTCTGTATTGTCCCAGGAGAACCACTGGCATCTGTGTTCTTCTGCTAGGAAAGTGTACAACTTGGAGACCTAACTCAGTTTGGGGGCTCAGTGGGGTCAGGAAAGGCTTTCTGAGGAAGTCACATTGAAGGAGCTCAGCAGGGGTTGGGTAGGGGTGGGGAGGTAATGGCATCTGTGAAGGCCCAGCATCAGGGAAGAGCTTCGGTTGGTTGGAGACAGAGAGAAGGGCCCCAGGACTGGAGTGCCATAGGGGCTGGGGGGCGAGGTGCCCCTGGAGGCTGGAGGCTTCCATGCCTGCTTTCTGTGTCTAGAGCAAGCAGGAAGTTGGAGTGGGTAAAGTAACCAGAGTTAGGTTTCAAAAGCTACATCATCACAAAGCATGGCTTAAAAGAAGGAAACCCTCGCTGACTGGCTTCTCTTTAGCTTCCTGACCCCTTAACAACACGCTGGGAACCTCTGATGTCCCCACCCCATCCTCCCTCCTGGTCTCCTGAGCTGCACTGGCCCCACCCACTCTCAGCAGGTGACTTTCTCTATTCACTGAGAAGCAGTCAGAAGCGACTGGCCATCATCAAACAATCTAGAAACAATAAATGCTGGAGAGGGTGTGGAGAAAAGGAAACACTCTTGCACTGCTGGTGGGAATGTGAATTGGTACAGCCACTATGGAGAACAGTATGGAGGTTCCTTAAAAAACTACAAATAGAACTACCATATGACCCAGCAATCCCACTACTGGGCATATACCCTGAGAAAACCATAATTCAAAAAGAGTCATGCACCAAAATGTTCATTGCAGCTCTATTTACAATAGCCCAGAGATGGAAACAACCTAAGTGTCCATCATTGGATGAATGGATAAAGAAGTTGTGGCACATGTATACAATAGAATATTACTCAGCCATAAAAAGAAACGAAATTGAGCTATTTGTAATGAGGTGGATGGACCTAGAGTCTATCATACAGAGTGAAGTAAGTCAGAAAGAGAAAGACAAATACCGTATGCTAACAATATATATGGAATTTAAGGGAAAAAAATGTCATGAAGAACCTAGGGGTAAGACAGGAATAAAGACATAGACCTACTAGAGAATGGACTTGAGGACATAGGGAGTGGGAAGGGGAAGCTGTGACAAAGAGAGAGAGGCATGGACATATATACACTACCAAACATAAAATAGATAGCTAGGGGGAAGCAGCCGTATAGCACAGGGAGATCAGCGAGGTGCTTTGTGACCACCTAGAGGGGTGGGATAGGGAGGGTGGTAGGGAGGGAGACGCAAGAGGGAAGAGAGATGGGATCATATGTGTATGTAAAACTGATTCACTTTGTTATAAAGCAGAAACTAACACACCATTGTAAAGCAATTATACTCCAATAAAGATGTAAAAAAAAAAAAAAGCGACCATCCACACGTAGTTGCTGTCAGCAAATCCACCAGCCCTCCTCCCCCAAAGCTATGTCCTCCACCTTCCTTCCGTGAGGGCTGCAGCACCTGCCACACCAGCTCGTGCCTGGGATTCCTCTCACCTACATGCGAGCTCTTCTGCTCCAGCAATTTCCCCTCTCCTGCATTATCAGTTGTTGCCTGTCCACTGGGTTACCCTGTCATCCTACAAACATATTATACAGGTCTCTGCTCAATATCATGTCCTCAGTTCCTTTTGACAAAAAAGGCTCTTCCAAAAAAAGTCAACCAACTTACTGAAGCCACCTTCTCTTCTCACATATTCTCATCAACCTACTCACATCTGGCTTTGTCCTGGACATTCCTCTAAAACTGCTCTTGCCAACTGCACCAGTAACTCCCAAGTGGCCCTCCCTCTGGTGTCAGGGGTCTCTCTGCCCAGTTCTGTCTGCAGGAGCTCTCCTCATCTTTCTGATCTCTCTACACACATGCCCCATGGTGGAACCCTTTCCTTCTGTGTCCACAGACACTCTCTACATGATCTCATTTATCCCCTTGGCTTTAAAAACTAACTATATGAGAAAGGTTCCCATATTTATGTCTCCAGGGTTGACCCCTTGCCTGAATACCAGATATTTATACCCAATTAGCTACTCGATGTCTGCTCTTGGGGATCTAATAGGCATCTCAAACTTAACACCTCCAAAACCAAATTCTTTCTTCATGCCTTTTCCCCCAAACCAAATCTATTTCACCCCTAGTTCTCCCTTTGCTATACATGGCAATGCTGTCCTTTCTCTGGTCAGTTACTCAAGCCAAAATTCCTGAAATCATCTTAGACCCCTCTCTGGTAAACCCCACATCCAACTCATCGGTTAATGCCATTGCTTATGCTTTCAAACTACATCAAGAATCCAACTTCCTTTTTTCTTTGCTGCTTTTGTTACTACTCTCCTGGTTAAAGTCATCATAACTGGTCTCTATCTTTCTATCCTTGCTTTCTCACAATTTATTCTCAGTGCAGAAGCCAGATTGAGCCTTTAAAATGTCATGCCTGATCAAGTCACTCAGTGACCTTGAATAGGTTAAAAATAAAATTCACAGTCCAAAAAGTCCTATCTTGTCCTACAGGGCCATGGGTGACCTGGCCTCCTCCTACCCTCTGAACTTCTCTCCTGCTCTGCCTCCATTACTCTTGCACCCCAGCTCCAATGGCATCCTTGCTGCTCCTGGAACAGGCCAAGGGCTTTTCTGCCTTAGGGTATTTGCACCTGCTCTCCCCTCTGTCTGGAAATTGTTTGCCCCAGGAAGTCTCTTGGCTTGATCTTCCACTTGCCTTAGGTCTCTGCTGAAATGTCACAGATGCTCCTAGTGCTAGGAAACCTTGAGAGAGGTGATGCAGGGGGCATCTGGGAAAAGCTACTGGATTATTTGTTGAACCACTACTTTGAGTACTTACTGCATGACAGACACTTCCAAGCAACACCTCATGGATTACAAAACTGCATCCCCTCCACAGCCTCAGGGAGCAGGTAGGAATAGCTAACACTTAGTGAGTGCTTACCATGTGCCAGGCGAAACACTTCGTAAATATGAGCTCATTTAATCCTCATAACAGCCCCATGAAGTGAGTACTGCTATGGTGTCCACTTTACATCTGAAGCACAGAGAGGTCAAGTAACTTACCCCACATCACCCAGCCAGAGCTCAGTTTGAACCCATAGCTTAATCTGATGCCGATGGAGAGAAGGCATAAGGCTTAAGTAGAGCCTTTACAGGGGGCTGAGCAGGTATTCCTCAACGTTATAAGTAGAGGTAGAGCCTTCCTTTGCGGGCCGAAGGCATTGCATGTACACAGGTACGGAGGCAGACAGTCGCCTTGACACTGTCCAGGGAGCAGGTGTGGGTAAAGTGTAAAGTGCGGCTTGATAAAGGGAGCCGACTGATGACTGAGGAGTATAAGGCTGTACTCTGTCTGTTCTTTGAGTGCCTGTCAAGTAAGGTCAAAGTGGTGGCTCTCTGCTCAGAAGTCGGGAAGTGAACGGCTGTAGTAGGTGCTGAAGGCTTTGTTTTTTTTTTTTTTTTAACATCTTCATTGGAGTATAATTGCCTTACAATGGTGTGTTAGTTTCTGCTTTATAACAAGGTGAATCAGTTATACATATACATATGTTCCCATATCTTTTCCCTCTTGCGTCTCCCTCCCTCCCACCCTCCCTATCCCACCCCTCTAGGTGGTCTCGAAGGCTTTTTAAGACCTTGAAATCCTTGTTGGTCGAGCGACCGCGATCGAAGAACTTTGAAGGAGGGGATGGGGGTGGGAAAGGAAGCGGAGAAAAAGCAAGTGAGAGATAAAGGGGAAGTGCAGTTTCAGAACCGAGCTAGCTCTCTCCTCCCTGCCTGCCCAGCCTCCAGCAGCCTCTTCTCCAACTTCGCCCGGGCGACCCGCGTTGGAACCCATGGCCGACTCCAGACCCAAGAAAGCCAAGATCTGTCTCTGCATATTTCTATGTCTTCTGGTGGGGGGGATCATCGCGGTGGTGGTCGGAGTCCGGATGTGGCGCCACTCGTCCGAGCACATGAAGTGGAATGGGACGGGCAGCACTGCCCGTTTTCAAGAAATCGTCCTGGAGCGATGCTACAAGTACACCCAGTCGGTGCAGCCGGAGCTCAGGTGAGTCGGCGTCTTTGGCGCATGGCGGGGCACCGCGCGCGGTGGTGGCTGGGCACAGCTGGGCACAGCCGGACCGTGCGCTCCGAGTAGCCGTCAGGATTGCCTGAAACAAAGCATCGACTGTTCCGAGTCAGCTGAGAGCCCGCGGGGCAGTGCTGAGTAGGGAGTCCGGGCTCGCGAGTCCGAGCGCCAGTCCCCAGAGGTGCAGGCGGGCGGTGGCGAGCGCGCTGCTCCTTGGCCCTTGCGCTCAACTGGTGGACACTTGTCAGAGACGCCCGGAGCCCGGCCCCATTTGGGACTGCAGCCCCACTCGGCCAAGAAGCCGGGGAGTTGCTGGCGTTTCCTACATTTCATGGGGTTTGCGTTCGCCATCTCTGACCCAAAAGCGCCCCGGACAGTTACAGACACCTGGTGAAGTGGCTTGCGGAGCCTGAGGTGGGAGGATGGTGTCTGAAGGGCCCGATCACTGAAGTTAGTTTCATTCATTACTATAAAACAACATCCCGATTCTTTTCGTGCGCCCTGAAATGAATGTGACCACAGCATCCAATAACAAAGCAAAACAAAGCGGTAACAACTTAAAAAATTTTTAAAGATAAAACACACGGTAAAGCGCATCTGCTTAATGATTCCGTTCAGACCCTAGAAACACCACCCACATCAGTCTACGGAACTTTCCGGAAGGTTCCTCGGGCCCTCTCCCAGCTAGCTTCTAATCTCTCCCCATAGTGAAACGCTTTCTTGACTTCCATTCTCAGGGCTTGGTTTCACCCGGAAAACTCATTTTTCGAAGTTGTACATAAAGCAGAATAAGCTGGGAAGTAAAACGTTGCTTCTCAGGCTGCCAAAGGCGGACAGGGGAGCGGCGATTGTCATCTGTGTGCCTGAGATCAGTTCCGCCTCCAAACACCCGTGATCCCAGGGGATGAGCCCTGAGACGCACCAGGGAATTCCTAAATTTTATGTTTGTATCTGTTTTCTCTGACCCTAAAAAGCTTGGTTCCTAATAACATTAATATAATTATGTATTCGTTTTCATATATACAAATAATATGTATGTATGTATTATTATTATTACTAACAAAATATCTAAATGTCTTTATGGTTCTTTTTGTCCTTAGGATATAGGATACATCCACTAGTGATGAATAGTGATGTATAGAGCATGTACCACTGTCTGACACCTTATTAAAGGCATCCTTCTGGCTGTTGGGTTGAAAACAGATGGTAGTGGGGCAAGGGCAGAAGCATGGAGGCCATGGAGTTCTTGTAGCAGTTCAGGTGAGAGGTGATTGAGACTTGGATAGTGATGGATGGTGATGAGAAGGGGAAATATTCTGGTTACATTTTGAAAGTAGATTCCATGTGATTTGCTATGGACTTGTGTATGGGATGTTAGAGAAAAAGAAGAAACAAGATTTGTGGGCTGAGTTACCAGAAAAATGAATTTCCATTTATCAGAAAGGGAACTACTGGGATGAAGCAAGTTGGGAAAGGAAACACTGGTCTGGCTTTGTACATATTAGTTTTGCAATGTCCACTGACATTCAAGTGCAGATATTGAATAGGGAGCTGGTTTCTATGAGTCTAGGGTACTAGGGAGAGGTCTGGGCTGGAGATATAAATGAGGAAGTCAACTGTGCATAGAAATTCAAGCAGATGTTTTATAAGGAGGAAGTGTTAATTGTCTTATTCAAGTGATTCCGACTGGTTAAGTAAGACGAAAACTAAAAATTGACCAATGGATTGATGACTTTGACAAGATCAGTTTTAGAAGAGTGGTCATGGTGAAAGCCTGTCTGGAATGGATTCAAGAAAAAGGTGGGAAAAGAGAAATTGGAGACTGTACATAGACAGCTCTCGCCAGGGGTCTTGCTGGAAAGGAGAGCAGAAATAGTGTGCTGGTTGGATGGATAAGGAGGGATTCAAGATGGAAGAAATTGGGGTTTGAGAGCCAGTTTCTTTAAAGTCGACTGAGAAGAATGTTTCCTGGGCTTCCCTCGTGGTGCAGTGGTTAGGAATCTGCCTGCCAGGGCAGCAGACACGGGTTCGATCCCTGGTCCTGGAATATCCCACATGCTGCGGAGCAACTAAGCCCGTGTGCCACATCTACTAAGCCCGCATGCCACAGCTACTGAAGCCCGCGTGCCTAGAGCCCTTGCTCCACAATAAGGGAAGCCACCACAGTGAGAAGCCCGCACACCACAACGAAGAGTAGTTCCTGCTTGCAGCAACTAGAGAAAGCTCAACTAGAGAAAGCCTGCATGTGACAATGAAGACCCAATGCAGCCAAAAATAAAATAAGTAAATTTATATATATATATATATATATATATAAAGAATGCTTCTAGATTTCTACAGTTTCCTTAGGTCTTTGACAATTGTCCTACCAATATCAAATTCAGCAACATTTTTTTTTTACATCTTTATTGGAGTATAATTGCTTTACAATGGTATGTTAGTTTCAGCTTCACAACAAAATGAATCAGTTATATATATACATATGTTCCCATATCTCTTCCCGCTCGCATCTCCCTCCCTCCCACCCTCCCTATCCCACCCCTCCAGGTGGTCACAAAGCACCGAGCTGATCTCCCTGTGCTATGCGGCTGCTTCTCACTAGCTATCTACCTTACGTTTGGTAGTGTATATATGTCCATGCCTCTCTCTCGCTTTGTCACAGTTTACCCTTCCCCCTCCCCATAGCCTCAAGTCCATTCTCTAGTAAGTCTGTGTCTTTATTCCTGTTTCACCCCTAGGTTTTTCATAACATGTTTTTTTCCTTAAATTCCATATATATGTGTTAGCATACGGTATTTGTCTCTCTCTTTCTGACTTACTTCACTCTGTATGACAGACTCTAGGTCTATCCACCTCATTACAAATAGCTCAATTTCGTTTCTTTTTATGGCTGAGTAATATTCCATTGTATATATGTGCCACATCTTCTTTATCCATTCATCCGATGATGGACACTTAGGTTGTTTCCATCTCTGGGCTATTGTAAATAGAGCTGCAATGAACATTTTGGTACATGACTCTTTTTGAATTATGGTTTTCTCAGGGTATATGCCCAGTAGTGGGATTGCTGGGTCATATGGTAGTTCTATTTGTAGTTTTTTAAGGAACCTCCATACTGTTCTCCACAGTGGCTGTATCAATTTACATTCCCACCAACAGTGTAAGAGGGTTCCCTTTTCTCCACACCCTCTCCAGCATTTATTGTTTCTAGAGTTTTTGATGATGGCCATTCTGACTGGTGTGAGATGATATCTAATTGTAGTTTTGATTTGCATTTCTCTAATGATTAGTGATGTTGAGCATTCTTTCATGTGTTTGTTGGCAGTCTGTATATCTTCTTTGGAGAAATGTCTATTTAGGTCTTCTGCCCATTTTTGGATTGGGTTGTTTGTTTTTTTGTTATTAAGCTGCATGAGCTGCTTAGAAATTTTGGAGATTAATCCTTTGTCAGTCAGCAACATTTTTAAAGTGACTCACCTGGGTCATTTTTACCAAAAAATTCAACTTGGTTTTCATAGAAAACATGTTTTTTTCTTTTTCCACTTATCCAATTTATTTATGAACAATTTAATGAAAGCATATAATTAAAGCAAAAACAACAAGCATAAACATATTCAAGAATAGGTAAATAAACAACCAAGTAAGTGAAAATGAAAGTCCTTGGGGATACAGAGAGTAGCCTATTAATTGTGTAGAAGATAGGCAACTTGTACAGAGAGAACAGAAAGTGGTTCAGTTAAATACTGGTCAGTTAAGAGATTTTTTGCAATAAATGAACTTAGAAGTGGTCATGCTTTTTTTTTTTCTTTTTGCCATTAAAGATCTATTTCTTGCCTTAGACCTAGATCAGGTTAGAAAACAACCAGGACAACATTTTCTTTAAATGAGCTGTGGTGGAAAGAACAGATGCAAGATGGTGAGAACAAAACAGGAAACTGAATGAGAGATGAATCAAGAATTGTTTTCCTGTGTGTGTGTGTGTGTGTGTGTGTGTGTGTGTGTGTGTGTGTGTGT